CATTGAAATCTATTATCAATTTAAATATTGGACCACCTTAAAGTTTTTTTTCCTATAATAAGAAAAAAAATATATCAATTTCTGTTGATGCACAACTATGATTAGTTCAGTTTTTACTCATTTTAATCATATATTTTCCTCTTTTAGTGTCAAACAAAGAATACGCGAATTATTTGGGATGTGGTAGAAATTTGGAAAGAAAGTGAAAATCAAACTAAGTTCACTCTAAATAATGGTATATAATTTTAAAATTTCGAAATAAAAATATTGCAAATTTTAATTTTATTTTAGTCTTTTTATTTCTGTATTCAATTATTTGCCCGGACTAATTATAATTATCGCGTATAATCTTAATAAAAAAAAAGAAAAAAGAACTTCACAGCGCGATGTTATACAGTGTAACATTGTGCTTTATTGTTTTTTGCAGTGTAGAAATAACATTGAAAATGTGAGAGAAACGCTATCAAAATGACGTTATTCCATTGCTTCATTTATAACATTATGTCAATGTCTTTCCAACGATACGGAAGACGTTGGAACAACGTTGTTCCAACTTTATTTTGTTTATTGGGTCAGATCCAGTGCAATAAACTGTACATAACACAAGAAAGTAAATTGCCATGGAATGTCAGTTGGCTTTGTCAAACCACCTCTATGTTATTGAGATAAGCTTTATACTCACTACAATACGATCATATGTATCAGTACATATACGATATGTATCAGTACACAAATCTACAATTTTTGCAAAGACTAATCGGCCTCCAGTTTTTCTTTCGGATTACACGGTTAATAGACTTTGGTATTAGATAGCTGTTATAAAAACTAAGCAAAAGATAAAAAAGTTATACAGGTATTCATACAGGTAGGTTACAGGCCCGTAACAACCGGGGGGTCAGCAGGGGCATTTGCCCCCTTCCCCAATAATTTTTCAAATAAATAAAAAGATGACTGAAAAAAAGTAGGTCCTTAAAACTATTTTGGGGCCCGTTAATCCAGCACTTTAGGTACTGAATTTTATAAAAAGAGTTTATGAATAAAAACATTACTAAGTTTCTAAATGTTAACATGTTGACGTTATTTACGTGGTGCAAAATATTCACGAGCGAATATTACAAACGATAAGTGTGGATATGATTTGATTTCATTTTAAAATGAAAACTCAATATAAATTATTTTTTTAATTTCAAATTAAATAAACATTTTCAATTTGAAAATGTTTATATAATAATAATATAAAGTTAATGTTTAGTATTATTATAAGTTTCATAAATTAAAGGTAAAAGAAAAATTAATTAAAGTTTATATTTTCTCGCAAAATTTTTTAACACCAAAGTTGGAATGCAAGAGACGAACTTAAGTGAAGTTCGACGTAAACGAAACTTGAAAATTTCAAGATAGTGCTTGAGAAAGTTAAACTTAAAAAACTTAAAAGACGTTGATTTGAAGGCATAATCGGAAAAAAAAACTTTGACACCAATAGCGGCAGATTATTTGATAAAGAAAAACCTTTTAAATAAAGCAAAATAACTATATTTTTAAATAATATTTCTCAGCTATATACTTTAAATTATTAACATACAAAAACAAATTAAAAATTGTTAGAAAAATAATAAATTTTTTTTTTGTGTTTTTATTAAATATTAGTAATTTATTAAAAAACACTGGATTAAATGAACGTGCTCGTGCTACCTTCTATTTAGTCCAAGCCTCTAACTACAACATAACAACAAATGGCATATATTCAATGCGGTGTTTATTATTATTATTATTATTATTATTATTATTATTGCTATTATCATTATTATTATTATTATTATATGATTGCTATTATTATTTAATTGGTGTTTACCTTTGATTAGTACTCGTACTATTAGTAAAATACCATGAAATGTAAACTATTATTTCAGAATATATATATTGTTATTGTTATTGTTATTGTTATTGTGACTGTACCAAATGTGGTTAAAATATCTACAGGGGGATATAACTCTGAGATAAATTTAAATATTGGAGTTTTTGCAAGCCTTTCCTGGATAGTGTTCTTTATAATTTCGAGTTTGCATATGAAATATTGACTTATTATATCGCATTTTGCTTCTGGTATTGTGTTATTAGTTTTAGAACTATTCGAATGTAGTAATTTCTTGGCAATGTTCCATGTTTCTTTTTGATCACCGTATGCTGAATTTAGTTTTGCCCTATAATGACTACATCTGGATTCGTGAATTGCTGCTGCAGCCTCACGGCATGTAGTTCGATATAATTTTTTATCTGATAAACTACCAGTTTTTCAATAACAATGTTCCAGTTTACGACGCCTAATTTTTTTATTCTTGGCATCTAAAGATAACCATTGATCATCGTGTTTACCAATTCGCATTGAATATTTTCGAATGGGTGCTAAATGATCAAGAACAGTTGTTATATTTGATCTTATTTGTTCAGCATAATCATCCACATTGTTTTCAGGTGATAAGCAACATGGCATCACCTGCAA